GACATTCACGTACTCTATTATAATCCCTATTCCTTGCAGTGCTCTAATGTTTTTATTAAACTCCTGCATTTCTCTGTTTAACTTTTTCATTGTAATGGCATTTTTAAAATCATGCTAGCTTTAGCTTCTTGATCATGTGGGGTTTAGAATAGTACATTTTTAGACCTTGTATTTTATTCCATAATTTTGCTTTAAAATCATGATATCCCTAGATAATCTGTTCTACAGATTTATATAGTCCTCTTGCAAAGAGAAATCCATTGCACACTGAAACTTATGGTTCATTGCCTTGCCAAACACTGAGTCTTAAACTGAACGCCTTCTACCTTTTCCCTCCCACATAGAGAAGACTCAAATTAGAGCACAACATTCCCATAAAGCTCTTAATTTTTCTCCCTTGTTCACTAGGGGTAGCTGATACTGCAACTTCCATAACTGAGCCACACAACAAGAACTACGTCTCCCAGTTCTGCATTGTGCCATTCTTCCACTTGGTGCCTGGGGTGACCGCACAGCTCACCCACAGCCTACCATCCAGGGAGAGCACAACAGAAGGCCTTCAGGCTCGCACACATTCTTGGCTGCTGAAGGCCAAGGGAGCTGCCAGCGGTAAGAAATGTACAGCTGCTGACCCAGGATGGTATCAATCCCCAGCCCCTTAGCTCCCTGACGTCCTTGTGCCAGGCACAAGCTGTTCTAACAGAAAGGCAGCTTCTCCAGCAATTCAACACACAATGAGCCAGGGTTCAATCTTCTGATCTTCCGGGACGGGAGCTGCAGATGCTGAGTCCCCTCTTCTATTTCTAGGCAGAGGGACAGAGAAATAAGCTTGTTCCCTGGGATTGTCACCATAAACATAGTGGTTTGTTTGTGAATCAGGAAGGGGAGAAGGGGTAACAAATGGGGAGAGCAGCAAAGGGGGTGGAGGAAGAGGCAGGGCTAAGGTCACCGTTATGGATGTGAACGTGGGAGACAAGAAGAATGAAGAGAGCTCAGAAGCCAGAACTGCAGCCTGTATTTTGAGGGCAGGAAGGGCTAAAGATAAACAGAAACAGGATTATTTTTTAAATGTCCACTCCCATCAAACATGCTCCTTAATACATCCATTTTTCAGAGAGGGAAGAAACACCTCCTGCAGTTTGAAAAAGCAAAGCGAGTCTCCCTGCTCCCGGGCTGCAGGCCAGGCTTCTCCTCCTAGGGAGAGAAAGAACAGGCCTGCAATTGAGAATACTCTCCTGCTTTGCCAGGAAAAGGTTTTAAGGTTTGTGACTTCTGGCCGGGGTACTGCTTGCACCATGATAAATCACCTGGCAGGGCCTGGGAAAACAGATCAACTTGCACACAGATACAATCAGAATGATGAGAGTCTCCAAAACTTTCCACTGGAGTTGTGCGTTTTGGAAGACCGGGTAGCTCTCCTGCGGTGCTGCTGCGCCGAGCCCCAGGGCTACCATTTCCTGCAAGCAGAAGTTATTCGTTAAACCGACCCTGTGTTTTCAGGAGGGTGTGTTAGGGCAGGTCCTTGGGGGACTTAGCATTATGAAAATGCAGCAAAGGTAGGAACATTCCCTTCTGCTGAAACCCTCACGTGACTGATATTTGACAACGGAAAACAAAGAGGATGAAGACTACCACTCAGGAATCCTGACCAGGTGCTCTTAAGATGCTTAAGTTCAGATCAAATCTAGGAGACACCAGCAAGGCCCCCTCTAAGTCAACATAGTCTATACTTCTATATACAGGTAGAGTGATATCCCTTTAAAGACAAGAGGTCAAACTAATCCTGTTTCAGACGTCAGCCAATATCGAGGAGGACAACCCCCTTGGGCTTAAAGTCAAGGATAACTCTTTGACTTCTAATATCCTGATTATTATCCTTAGCTTTGCTCAATCTCCAGATGTGTGAGGATCTACATAACTCCAAATCCCCAGGCAATACAGCTGTTGTCTTACATACTTGCTATGAGAGAGTAAGTGCACCTGACCCACTGATTTTTCTGAAATACTGTCTCAAATACTGCGGAATGAAGCATGGCTATAAATGGCACTCTTAGTTAGGGAATCGTAGTTCTAGAACTTCTGTACCACAGAAACTCAAGGGAAGTTTCTTTCAAAGACACAGTTGAAGGCTTCATTATTACTACTTTTTAAAGACCTCATAAAGGCTACCAGAATTGGATGGGACACAAATAAACCCATGCATCCTGAAGAAGTTCCTAGTCCCTCAGGTATATCTGAGGGAACTTTTTATCTCCTTATTCATTGGGTTTGAACCCATCAGCCTGCTTGGGCAGACCCATAACTGCAGAAGGGAAACTTCTAGGAAAAAGCTTTCGTAATGTTTTCCATTGCTTGAATACTTTTTGGGCAGGAGCAATCTGCTAAACACATGACAGCCCAAGTGATTAATCAGGGCAATCAACAGAGCCATCATGCTCATCTAAAACAAAGGTGGGCAACTTTTGGTAGCCCTTGGAGAATATCTATTTTCACCAGCAGAGATCCATGGAGGACACAACACTAGACAAGGCAAGGGTAGAATTTCAGCCTTACTGTTGGGAGTTGTGGAAGAGTAAATGTTACCGTGTTATTTATTACTCTTATTTCACATGTTTGCTCAAAATGGTGGAAAAGCAGGTTGCTTTTATTCAGGGATTAGCCACTAAATTTTAGCAGCATGACCTTGTAATTCTTCCAGTAGGCTTTTCATTTCCCTACAATTCACCCCATCACCAGTTATTCACGAGTTTTAACCCTATTTCCTTTTTACCTGTGACCTAGATAATGAGACTCAGGCTTGTACAATTTGTACAATGAGGCTTGTACAATTTGGATTACAAATTTGGATCCCCAAATTTTACAAATTCTGCAGATTCTGATGCCTTCCAGATTAGCCAACAGGAGAGGATGAGATTGGGAAGTGGTCCCATGTCCCATGTTTCTGCTCTAGGCCAGTTTCTCAACCTTGGAATTCAGGAAATTGAAGTCCACACCTCTTAAAGTTGCCAAGGTTGAGAAACACTGCTCTAGGCAGTACTACTGGGAAAGAACCAAATTGTGCTTTCTTTTGCCCTTCTCAGGAAAAGAAACAGAGCAAAAGATTCATATCACCTTCCCAGCACACCTTTTTTGTTTGTTGGTGTAAAGGCAGCTCTTTTATCCTGCATTCAGAAGCCCTGAATTCCCACCCCACCTATATGGGAGAATGTGTATTCCTGAGAGGAGAGTCTGTATTTTTCCTATCGAACTCCTTCCACTATGGCCTTAGTTAAATCCCTCAGTAGCAATTATCCCCACTCCCACCCTACCCAAGCTTTTGCCACCCCCCTTTTTTTTTTGCTCCACCTTTGCCAGAACTTCCAGAGTCCTGCTCTTGTTAGCCTGGGACTGAATCGCTTTCTTTGCTTACAGGCAATCGTGTCATCTGGGTGGCACCTAGCCAAAGACTATACAAAGACAAGTAGCCACTTGTGGCTCTGGGGCATGATTAATGGCTGGAGGGCCAAGTACAAAAGGACCAAGAACCAAGCCATGAATGTAACCTGGACAAGACCCAGACTTTGGGTTACAAGATGACAACACAAACTGTGTGTCCAAGGCTGCCGGGTGTGATAAGGAGGAGGAGGGCAGATGCTTTTGATCTCTGAGGCAGTCAACAGGGATGGTTTTGAGTTTAGTCAGGAAGAGCAGGCCAAGAACACCAGTGGCCCCACAGCTTTCACCTCAGAACACACCTTCAGGCCCACAAGGTAAAACATGTTTTCAGAGAGCGGAGATTCAGACACCACCACCCCAGTTTCACCAGAGAGCACACTGAGGAACCGTTCCAGAGATTTAATGAGAAGCTTTGTACAGTCACCTCATCTCAAATATTAAAAAAATGAGAGGGTATGGACATGCAGGCAATCTTTCTCCTTTCTGTTCAGGCACACAAACTCACTGTGAACTCTCCAGTTTTGGATGGCGTAGAAGACTGGCCAATGCATGGCAAAACAAATACAGCTGAAAGAGGCAGGCCCTGTTAAGAGCACATGCCGAGATAGCCAGGCAACCTCTCCAGCACAGTGCTAGGACATGCTGCTGGCTAGGGAAGTTCAGCCTCAACAGATTCTCCTTTTGCCCTCATCCCCTCTCCACCCCACCCCACCCCACCCCACCTCCTGGAAAGTCTCCCTGGGATACAGTGACAGGCATCAGTTATCCCTTGCCTAGAAAACAGCAGGTGCAATATAGACCACCATCTGCTCAAAAGCTATAGCGTCAGGGGGGTTCTTGGAGACAGGGCAGGAGTGGATAAGATGTGGGACAGAGGATTCAGTTAAGTCCCACCGCCAGAAAGAGACAAATGTACAGGAATCAGGAACAGGATGGAGACTGGGCAGTGCAACTGATACAGGAATCATTCATCCTTCTTGTCCTTTCGGCCTTCACAAGTTGCCTAAAGGAAACAAAGACAAAACATAGTGTTAGAACAAGAAAGACCTTGTCCTAGTTTACAGGGACACTGCCTGCAGTCGGATGTGTAAGACTGCATTTTGCATGGTTTATTCCACAATCTTTGTTAGTAAGGAAGAGGAACTGTGGTGCTCCACTCAGCACTGCAGACCCACTCCAAGACACAGGTGATCTAGTCAAGCTCCTATCTCAGTTTCTGAGACAATCTCAAGCACCACCCTACAGGCTTCCAAGCACACAAAGAGGCATTAAGAACTACCACCTTAACATCTTCAGAAAGCTGCATTCTACAGACATCAACACATTCGGTATTTGTTACACTTCTTCAGAATCACAACAGGAATACATGTGAGTTTAAAGTGTTCATAGAACTCCCCGACCAAGCGAGATAGCTAGTGGATACTCTGCAGCTAGAAACTAAATACAAGCCCACTGTCATTTCAGGCAGACAATGGGCCAGTCACAAGACTCTGCAAGCTGAAATATACACAACAGATTGACTCCCTGCTGGCCAATGATGCAAGGTCTCCATTCAAATCGTTGTCCTTTGTATGCTGCAAGGTCACGAGCTGTTCATTCTTGGGTACATCATTCAAATGTGTCACACTGGCTTGTCTCTATGACAATACATGCCCAATGCTAGTCATTGCAAACATGACCTATGAAAGTGGTGCTGCTGCAGAATACTCCCATCAGCATTTCCACAGCATTGCCAAACACACTGACAAGGCAGGATGGTTCAAAAATGAGTCAATGATAGGACTGTGAGTGTACAAATACCGCATTACCAGGCACAGAGGTTAACTTCTTGATCAAACCAGCTTTATTCCCCTCCTTAAAGCAAGTTTCTGGTCTTTACAGATTACAGGTGTCATCTACATATCACTTCCACACATGCAACCAAAAGTGTGGATCCAGTACGTAGACGACACCTTTGTGATAATAAAAAAGGAACAACTAGAGAAGACACATGAAACTATTAACGGAATAAAATTCACCAGAGAGGAAGAGAACAGCAACACGCTACCCTTCCTGGATATCCTCATCAGCAGAGGAAACAACAGCAAATTAGAAACCAAAGTTGATCGGAAGACAACCCACGCTAATCAAGTGCTCCATTACCAAAGTAACAACCCAACCTCCCACAAGAGGAGCTGTGTAAGGACAT